ATTTACCGACACTAATCTATATCAAATACTATATCAAATCCAGTTAATCATGGATGTTACCTAAATATTAATGTGATTTCCAAAACTCTAACATTACCTAGATAGCAATTGTCTCCTAACTGGATTTGCCAATCTGTAAAGTTATGTCATTTTATACGGCAGCCGGTGAGCCGTCCCCTCAGCGCTACGTGAATACTGTTGGGAACGGGAAGGGCTTCAAACTTACCAATCGTCGTCCAAAGGGCCAGTAGTCGGTCTTTTATTAAGTAGTAATTTATAGTTTGCATGACTTTCGATATACACTCAGTTCCAAAATTATCGCCACACTAGTTTCCCATTGATTTCAATGTAAAGTGGTGTCAAAATTATTACCCCAAAAGTTAATAAATTGAATAATCATAAGAAAAATTTACCGAATTTTACAAATATTCAACCAATATGTTGGTCCGATAGTTGGCTAAAGTTTTCAAAAAAGATTTGTTTAATTTTGATTACGGGTGGCCATCGCCGCCGCACCGTAATCAAAATTAAACAAATCTTTTTTGGAAACTTTAGCTAACTATCGGACCAACATATTAGTTAAATATTTTTAAAATACCATAATGTTTAAATATAATAAGTCTATTTATTAACTTTTGGGGTAATAATTTTGTTTCACTTTACATTGAATTTAATGTAAAACTAGTGGGGCGATAATAGAATTTTGTAGTGTATATTGTATGGTAACTATTGTTATTTGATTACCATTTTGAAATGAATAAAACTATTTTTATGCATAATTTTGTAATGATATTTAATTTGATATAATTTTGAATAAATGTGTACTAATTACAAAAATAAATTGTTAAATTTAGATAGCTTAAAGCCATTTAACATACAATTAATATGTATTTAAAAGCTAAAGCTGGGCAATTTGATATCAGAGGTGATACCAGTGCTGATGCCATTACCATTGGCACCGATTTCAATACCAGTGTGAGCGTCACCCGCATCAACGCCAACGTTCACATCAATACCAGCGCTGCCGCAGTCGCTGACCTGCTTCTGGATGCCGGCCAACAGACCCTGCAGTTTGGTCTTAAGGGCCAGAAGTGCCTTCGCCTCCGCATCCGAAGCGGTCTTAAGCTGAGCGTCGATGGCAGCCAATTGCCCGTTCACTGTCTTCTGAGCGCAGGCCAGGGTTTCGTCCAATTGAGCCTTGATTTGACCACCGATTTCAGCGCCCTTAGCGCCCAATGTCTTCTTCAGATTCTCGATTTGGCCCACCATTGACTCGACCCGACCGTTGAGAGCGATCGCCTGCTTCTCGATCAGGGCCTGGATGTTAGCGGAGCCCTCCTGCAGATTGCCGGACAACTCACCCAATTTCTGTCTCAAAGCGAGGTCTAATCGTTGACCGAGCTGTTGGCCGGCCTCCTGCGCCTCATCTAATTTCACTTTCAATCCGGCCAACAATTTCTGGGCGTCGGCGCTGGCAGTTGTCTTGAGATGTTCGATCAAATCCTGGGCTTCGGCTGTCTTATCAACAAGACTATCGGTGAGTTTGGTTAAACCGCACGACACTTTGCCGTCGAGATCTGCGACCACCTTTTGGATGTTGCCCTCCAGCCCCTGGATCTTTGCCTGCAGCTGACCCTTCGCCGCCTCCAATTGAAGCTTGAGATTACCGGTAGCCGTCTTCAGCTTACCCTCGATGTCCTCCAATCTGTCGCCCAACACTTGTTGGCCGGATTTCAAGTCGTTGACAATGTCTTTCTTGGTCTGTTCGGCCTTAACCTTCAGGTCGGCCACCAATTTCTGTGCGGCTGCGCTGCCCTTGTTGGCCGCCTCTTCCAGTTGTTTCTCAATGGCGGCCAACTGGTCCTTACCGGCGGACAACTGATGGTCCAAATGAGCTTTGAGTTCGCCGGCGCCGTCCAACACCTGCTTCAGAGTTGCGTCCAGATTGGCCCGGATCTCGGCGTCAGATCCCTCGAGAAGGTCTCCCAACTTTCCGCCACAGGTTTGCAGTTTTCCTGTCAGACCACCGATCGCCGACTTAAGTGTGCTCTGGATTTGAGTGGAGATTGCGCCCAAT